CATGTTTTTCAAGAAAAGATTGTAACATTGAAAGTGAATTGCGATCTTGTAACACAGTGTTGGTTATAGCAAAAAAATAATAAAATCGGTATTAACCAAAAATCGGAATCAGCAGGTCAGACTTTTTAAAGATCGGTGATCGGAAGTCGGCCAGAAAACTGCAATCGGTGCACCCCTAGTTCCCAGAATTTCTAAGAGTAGAATGGGAGGCAGATCTTTTAGTTACCTGGCTCCTCTCCTGTGGGACCGACTACCAGTTTTAGTCTGTGAGGTAGACACCCTGTCTGCTTTTAAAGCAATGCTTAAAACTTTCTTTTTGATACTTTTTGATACAGCTTATAGTTACAGTGGCTTAGATTATCCTGAGCTATCTCTATAGTTATGCTGCTATAGGCTTAGAATGCTGGAGGACATAGCAGCACCTTTTTTTTTTACCATTGTGCTTACTTCTATCTCTATTCTCCCACTCTGCAGCATTTGTTCACTCTCTAATATTATGTTGTCTCTGCTTTTTCTCATAGTAGCTCCATCTGGTCTGGCTGTGACACCATCCTGGAGAGGAATATCAGCTGTGCTGCCACCATCAACATCTTTGTTTATAGATGTTGGAGCTTGGCCTATTTTTCAGCGTAGTCCTGTTCCCATCAATGTCTAACTGTATGTGCTCAGTTTCATACTCTGACATGGGGGCAGGCTTGGAGCTCGTCTGCCTGGCTGTGTGTTTCCTGGATGCGGTTGCCTGTGGAGCTGGTTGACAGTTACCTTTTTTATATCTGCTTGTATTTGTATGTCTGTGTTTGTCTCCTTTAACCCCAGTCGGCCTCTGCAGATGGCCGCTCACACTGAGCCTGGTTCTGCTGGAGGTTTCCTGTTAAAAGGCAGTTTTCCTTTCCACTGTCGCAACAAGCATGCTTGGTGTAAGGGATTGCTTTTGAGGCAATGAGTCAACGCAATCAGTTGGTTTTCCTTAGATAGAAAACTTTGAATCAATTTAACTGTATGATCTTGTTGAATTGTCTCTGTGAAGTGCCTTAAGATGACATGTTGTGAATTGGCGCTATATAAATAAACTGAATTAAACTGGATTAGTACAGAATTGAGCTTTTCTTGATTTCCTAGTGCATTTGGAAACATATAAAATATTAATACATCAGGTGTTAAAGAGTCTGTGAGGCCCGTTTCTCTTTCAAGGGCTCATGGGCTTATTAAATACTATATATATATATATATATATATATATATATATATATATATATATATATATATATATATATATATATATATATATATAAATACTGAAAGCTACCCAAAAAAAATCAAAATGGGTCTAAACCAATAAAACACCAACACAAAATGACCTTTCCCCTATTTGCTCCCCCGTTACAAATGGTATATTCTGAAGAACAGGGGGCCCAGGAATTTTGATAATTTATAAAGGTTGTGAGCAGAAAAGTGGGTAACATGAAATATTCTCCCGATATTCCCAGACCCAGGAAATGTAGACTTCAAAGGGAAGTCCCACCAGTGATTTTAAGAAGTTATCTAACGTTGTTTACTACTGGACAAAAAATATAACAATAACCATTTCTTCCTTTTATTTAAAAAGTTCAGGTATGGGTTTATGATGCTTTATTAGATTCTATGTTTATTTTAGGCCTTTCCTTAACTGTTAACCAGAAGTACCAACAATTTTGTTCTTGATGCCAAAAAGCTGCTTATGTACACTTAAAGCCACTGACTTTAGTTTTTGTTTTGTTTTTTGTTATTTTTACGCAGCATAGATTCTGTTACTGTAAGCAGCTTTAATTGTCACTAAGTTTACAAGATCAAACCTGATTTAAAGTAATGCTTCCTGCTCGCTAGTTCCCCTGTTAGCCTGGATGTTTGCTTTGATGGAAAGAGATAAAAAAATAAAAAAAAAACATACCCAGCTCTCACACTGAAACTGTTGACAGTGTTATTCATACTATAAAATCAGTCTCCCTGACAGCAGGAGACAAAACTAATTAAAAAAGTATGACTAGTATATAGCACAATGCATGACCCAATTTTCCTTTGTAGAAAATTGTTGCAGTAAATCTCCCTTTATTAAACATACCGGTTTAACTCTTCTCTTTGTTTTAGAAGTTTGAGATCTGCAGAAATGAAAGTAAACATTTATAGAATTCTTTATTGCTCATCTGAAATCTAACTGCCTGAATGTGAAATGTTAAATAGATGGCAATAAAACTGACAGTATACTAATGATATCAACCTAACCTTCTTTCTTAATAAGGAATTTATTTAAAACTTCTCTGAAAACCATTTTACATTGGATTCAGCTTTATTGGCTCAGACTGGAACCATAAACAAGGAATTGGACTTTGGATTCATACGCCTGTAATGCAAACATGTAAAACATTTATATAAACCTTAGAGCAAATAAGTAAAGTTACCTTCATGTGTGAGTATGCACAGTTTTTATAAAAAATAAAATAAAAGAATGGCAGGTGTTGGTCATACAATTATGCTTATTTTGTCTCCCCGCTCACTTCTAAGACAGCCTGATGGAAGGAAACGTCTGTTCTGACCGATTTTTACGAATAGAGATCTGTAGCACTGACCTGAAGATAAAAGTATAACCCATTTGTTTCCTAGATGCCCTTTTCATGACCATCACCAGCTTCACAAGTCCTGGATGAAGGGAAAGTCAGCCCCGATGATCCTCCTTGCAGGCCTAAATGCTTAATACAGTCTGGAACTTTCCTGTTTCATGGATGAGAGAAACAACTATGCAAACAAAGGACTGAATTAAGCTTAGAAGATGCGTAGCGACTCCTGTGGGAGGTTATATTTCTGAAATTGCTGTAGGAAGTATCTATTCCATCCAAACTGTCTATGTGTGAGGATTAGCTCAGGTCCAAACAATCCTCCGTTGACACTGTGCTGTTCAGGGTTTCTACCTGATTACATTTTTCTACTGGTAGAACTGTGAGCTATGAGTAAAAAAATCAGGAAACTGATGATAGGATCAGACTGTTACCGAGAACCAGTGACTAATTTCTCTTTTAATCTATTTTTTCCTGTTACAATGGAACAAAATATGCAAGACTTTTCTTTAGATTTTTGCTGCACCTTGCTAAGAAGTTTTATAGCATCTGTGGATTGAGACATCTTTAGACTTTACTGCTTCCTTATTCTAGCAGTCTAATAACATAACTGATACACTAATAATTTCAAATCAATAATTAGAAAAAAAATGTGATGATCTCTCTGGGAGATCATTTTGAAAATGTTGCGCCATCTTCTGGACAGAAATTGTAAGTGAATCTTTGTCAAAATTGCTTAGCTACACAAAAGTATTTTTTTATTTTAATCGTTTTTAATCAACATTTAGTTTGTTTTTGTCAGTTCTTTAGAAACAAAAAGTTAAAACTGTGAACTATAGTATACTGTACAACAATGTGAAAAGAAAAGTCATGGGTGTGGCCGGTTTCTAACCACGGCTGTTTTATAAATACTTTATTACAACAGAGGGATACCACTTACAATGTAATAATTCAAATGACACTAAAGCATGTCATTAAGTAAATAAAAAATGTAGATGAAATATGCCAGCTAATAAAACAAAATGTACTTGTTTAAAATCTTGAAAGGGTGTTTTTTATGCAGAAATGTTAGAGGTTTGAGTGGGAATTTTGAGTCGTTAGTCCAGCAGACAGTTGCTGACATTTGGTATTTTACCAAGTCTAAGTAAAGCTGTCAAACAGGGATTTGAGAGGCCATCGTGGGCAAAGCTTTAGGAAAAGGAATTCCCTTTCTAGCAGAGTGTATCTGTGCACAATTTGAAAAGGACCAATGCCTGCTTTAATGATGATAGTATCACCATGCTTCACGCTATTAAAAAGACCTGAACCAAGAAAGGACCTAAGCAGTACAATCAGAAGGAAGATGGGAAAACATTAGAGGCAACTATGCAGGACAGACTGAAGGTTGTTACTACAGTACGCTTCCTTACAACTCAGATTATCAAATAAGTTATTTAAACTGAATGCAATTATATGGCAAAAGTGAGAAACTAAGAAAACATTTTACACTTTTTAAGGCTTTTTATGTTTCAGTAATATTGAAGTGAAATAAAGTCAGGTTTCCTCTTCCTTTCTTTTTATTAGTCTTTAAAGGAGGGGTTTAACAGTAGAATGTATTAATCATGAACTCAAAAAAAAAATAGAGAATTTTAATGTTACATAAAAAAATAAACAAAATACAAAAAAACCTTCTATGCCGTCTGCCACGCCTGCTGAACTGCAGACATGGGGGAAGGATAAAATTTGATTCTACACCAGAAAATACGAGAACATTTTAGTTTACCTCTCATTGAGGTAGTTCCAATCAGTTTTTAACAAGATGTTTATAGTTCAGGCTTATGGCATAAAACTTCACTTAGTTTTAATGACTGTTACACATTTTCCAACATTTCTTTTTACAAGTAAAAGCCTGAGTTGTGTTATAAAGTGTTTATTGCATGGGCATGGTTTACATAAGAGGGCCTTAGATTAGGACAAAGGAGGAACTAAAATCCTGAGTACCAGATTTTTAATCTCAACAGGATCAACTGTGATAAAGGTTACTTAAATAAAAAAACATAAAAACAGGCTGAATGGACTTAACCAAAGCAGAACCTGTGCAAAGGGACACGTCAGCTGAACGACAGGCTGACTACCTCCACACCACATTGCAATGATGCACAGAGAATAAGCCTCGAACCTGTCAAAGAAAGCATTTAGGAGAGAAGAAGAAATAAAGGCTACATCTTGCATATTAAAGGTTTTGTTAAATCAGGATTTGGTAATACTCAAATTTCAAGGAATATTAAACATAAGTGTAATAAACCTTTTTATGAGTTACAGACTTAAATTAGCTTTTAAAATTTTTAATTTACTGGGAATCATTATAGATGTTAAATTCACTCTTATAAACACTGTTCTTGGTGTGTGAATGTGTGAAAGAACAAGCTTCAACTCTTTGTTATGAATGATTTATTGTAGACTCCAGAAGCTGCGCCTCCCTGTTCAATCTGGCACAATTCAACTTGTTTTCCAACTTGCCAAGTTCTTGAACACACAAAACAAAATGAAAATAGAAACGGAAAGGTACCACTTCAATGCTAAAGTCTTTTTAGCTTGTTTTTTTTTTAGCATTGCAGTAGTTTGTGCCATAAATTCAAAATATCAACTACCTTAAATTAAGCTTGATGTAAAGAAAGAACATAAAGTAATAAGGAAATTAAAATATAAAAACAATCAATTCACAACATTACATTTGAGAGTGAAATAACACACTCTTTAACATGATAAAAAAAAGGGCCCACTCTTACGCCAAAAGCTAGCATGCTGCAAGTTTAGGCACATTGTTATCAGTCACACACTAGGCTGTACTCTGCATGCTGACACAGAGAAGCACAATAACAGTAAACCTATGAGCTTATTTAAAATTACGACAAAAAAAAACTAAAAATTACAATGCAGGCATCCCTGTATTTTCAACTGAAATTTGAGTTCAGCTTAGTATCAGAGGCTACGGTAAAGTGACTCTTTGCAAAGATCAGAAAAGATACACAACTTCCAATCTCAATTGCAAACAATTTGACCCGGTCAGTTCATTCCAATCCACCCACTAAGTATCACATGAATAAAAACAACTTAAAGGTCTCAAATTTCTTATTCAGTTCATCTTATATTTATCTAAATGGACCAATGAGTTGGTAGTTTCAGGGGTAAGACTAATTCAGATGAAACAGATGAAGAAGTCTACTAGGAGATGTAACATTGCAGTAGTGTCTCCTGAGCTGATATGCCAATACTGTACGGTGGTCCTCCATCCTCTCAGCCTCAGGGAATTTGCAGGGAAGCAGAGGAGGCAGAAGAAGGGAAAGCAAATGGTGCAACCATGGGTGAGAGGGAAATGGGGAGTAGACGTCTGGTCTGGCTTCAGAAACCTGATGGTGTTAAAACATTCATGTCCCGAGGTTTGAGTTTGTGCAGCCGCGGAGAAATCCGCTTAGCCTCAGTCTCTGAGATTTCAATCTTAGGGGGCATGAAGTTGGCAGGGTCCTCCACTTTTAGGTTGATCTGCGTGCTGGTGCCATCCATTGTAGAGGACTTCTGCAGCCCGAAGTAGGACTGCAAGAAACCTGAAAATTTGTTTTAGATCGTCATTAATAAACAATATTTCTGTTTACAAGGAAAAGACTTAAGGTGCGTTCAGACTGAGCATGGTGTCCGCGGTTGGGCGGTGGATTAAGTTAGTATCCCCATGGGAAGGGTGGGGAAGCGACTAGCAGTGGATTGCATGCAGTGATAGCGTGGAGTTGATGCTCCGCTCTCACCTAATGCTACTAGATAGAGCTAAATTGTTGTCAAACAGCAGCACCACATGGAGCGAGCAGTGTAGTGATCACTGAAGTTAAAACGATCTGAACTACGATCTATAAAATCACGATGTGGCAACATTTTAGAGAAAGCCTCTATCAGTTAAAGTGTAAAAAAGAGAAAGAAATTTAACCATGGTAGAAATAAGGAGTGCTTTTGAGAGGTATATAGGTGGATTTAAAAAAATGACATTTCAGTCCCAGGAGGAATGCACCTTGTCCTCCGTTGCCTCCAGCACAGACCCCGGTCTGTTGCTGCCTCTACCAGCATCGGTAGTCTCTACATGGGAGAACTAATAAGGAGATACCGCCGAATCTGACGGTCATCCAGACACAGCTATGGATGAATAAAAGTGGATTCTTTTGTTCCAGTGCAATCCCCAAAGCGATTCAAAAGTTGTTTACAGAGAACATATTTATGAAACTCTGAGCTTAATTGGGGGATAGTTGATCTCTAGATTTTTTTAATATCTCAGAAACAACAGTAGCACATATGCTCTTTTTTCATTTCATTTTTACAAATGACTGTTTCAACTGGACAAACCTGCACTAATGAAGCTCTAACCATTCATTCTATTTGCTGAGTTTTTTTACATGAGGTGTTGGCTTAATGCAAATGAAGCTCAACCAATTTGATGCTGCTGTCCAAGGAATAAACGCTGGCATGCAGATCGGTGAACTCCCCGCGTTGCTGGTGGAAATCCCCACGAATGCCGCATGCGGTTTGAACGCACCTTAAGAGTTGTTTTTAATTTATTTGTTTTTGCTGGACAATTTACAGATGCTTTTTCCTTTTTACAATATTTAAATGTTATAAATATCAATCTGCTTTTACCATTTTGGCTCTTCTTATTTCTATTTTGTGAATCTAAAACTGTTTTAACACTCAAGTAATTAAATTGCCATTCATTAGTTTCCCTTGATAGGTGTTTGTTTTTAATAAATCAAAGAAAATCTAAACACTGAAAACTTCAAACAGCCCCCAAAATTTGTGACTGTCTTCTTAATAACTGGAAATTATCCCGTTTTGAATTAGATGACTTATTCAATTCATAGTTAATTTAAACTTTAGAGCAATTTGGCACAATTAATATTAGCCACATAGTGATCACAATCAATAACTAATTACAAAAAATAGACATTAGTTTAGTAAAATACAAATATAATTGACATAGATTATTGATGTCTAACAGGTGTTAGCTTACTACAAATACCGTATTTTCACGACCATAAGGCGCACCGTACTAAAAGGCGCACTCTCAGTTATGTGTCCCATTTCTGTATTTAACACACACATAAGGCGCACCGGACTATAGGGCGCGTTTTTTATATACCGGTACATGTCCTCTACTACCTTTAAATACCTCTACTGCATATTTAAAAATACAGCGGGGGCAAAACTGAGTATGACTGTGCTTTATTCATGTATTTATTACAAACTATTAATCAAACCTGGGAGCTGGCCGAGAGACAGACACATCGCAGATGACAGCGCTGTGATCACTCCTAAATTAACTCAAAATCCTGAAACCTGCCAACGGAATATGTTCGCTTTTATTACCGGTATCCTGGTGCCTGCAGTTTAAATTATTTAGATGAAAAACACCTGCCAGCAGCCGCGGTGAACTTGGAGGCTACCCAGCCTAGAGGCTGCTGTTGAAGGGATTTCTACTGTCGGTGCACCGCTGGTATGTGGGGGTCTGAGCGCCTCCGACAGAAATAGATAATCTGGATGAACTGACTGCAATTATGAAGTTTTCAGGTGGACTTTCTCACTTAAAAACATATTAAAACTACTTTATTCCCACTGATCACAGCAAATATAGCTGCAAGATTTAGATTATTTAGATGAAAAAACACCTGCCAGCCACCGCGGTGAAGAGGAGGAGACCCGGCCCAGAAGCTGCTGTTGAATTAAGTTTTCAGGGAGAAAAATACAGCGGGAGCAAAACTGAGTATGATTGTGCTTTATTAATTTATTTATTACAAAGTATTAATCAAACCCATCAAAGTCATCATCCTCTGTTTCTGAATTAAATAGCTGCGCTAAATCAGACATGCCAATTTCCCATTCTTCGCTGTCAGAGTCACTTTCCGTGCAGCGCAGCTCCTCAGAAATAATGCCTGCTTTTGCGAAAGCTTGAACAACAGAGCCAGCAGACACGTTAGTCCAAGCATAAACAATCCATCCGCAAACGGTGGCGTAACTTGCCCGGCGCTGGCTTCCACTTATCCTGAAACTGTGGTCAGTCTGTCATCCATCGCTCCCACGCCGCTCGCAGCCTTACTTTGAACGGCCGCTTCACACCGATGTCGAGCGGTTGAAGTTCCTTTGTCAGACCCCCGAGATAACGGCGAGCACAGCGTTCATTTGATTCACCATGTTTTTCTCATCAGCTGTGAGATGGGCACGCATGGAGTCACAGATTAACAGCGATGGTGATGCGTGAAAAAAAAACACCTGTTCTCCTCACATACACCTTCCTCAGCCACGCTTTCATCATCTCCTCATCCATCCAGCCCTTTTCATTTGCGTTAATATCATATGTCATCAGAGCGCTGTGTCTGTCTCGCTGTCAGCTCCCAGATCAGCTTCTCTGATTGGTTGATGCGGCGCGTCCAGCAGCAAAACTTCAATTTTTCTATCTCGAGCAGCAGCAGCGCGTTGGCGGTGCGTCAGATGCTTAAACGCTCCTGCTGCTCAAAACGCGCTGCGGGACCTTTTGCTGCGCCTATACACGCGTCAACCATTGACTTTGCATGTAAACTCGCTGCTTCTGCTGCACCTGCTGGGTCCGGTTCACACAGATGTCGAACGGTTGAACAGCGAGCACACCGTTAATTTGTTTCCCCATGTTTTTCACATCAGCTGTGAGATGGGTACGCATGGAGTCACATATTAACAGCGATGGTGATGAGTGGAAAAAAAACACCTGGTCTCATTACATTCAGCCACTCTTTCATCATCTCCTCAATGAGGTGGTCTCAAAAGTCGCAGTTACAACACACATAAGGCGCACCGCACCAAAGGGCGCACCGCACATTTTGAGGGGAAAAAAAAGACGTTTAAGTGCGCCTTATAGTCGTGAAAATACGGTACAAATAAACTGGTGACAAAAAGGTGCAATGGCATGCTCAGAAATGACCCTGCACATTTTGAGTATGTTTGGCTCAACCTCCTGCTGTGAAGCAGGATTCTGCACCATAAACATACTAAAAAAATAAATATTGATCCAGACTTAAAATGATTTGTCGCCATTCAAACCCAGGTTTAAAACCTTGCAGGTCAGCCTAAAGCCCACTCATCTTATTAAGCCATAAAAAGAAAAAACAAACTAACGGTCAGTTCAGGTGTTTTATAAAATATGTGAAATCAGAAAATTGTCTATATACCAAACTGAATGAGTGTTGTTCTCTACTTCAAAAAACACTTTCGATTTTAAAATGGTAAAATGTTCTATTATTTTATTTCTTTTTTTATTTAAAAAGTCAATGTATAATATGGGTAAATAAAAGCCTTATTTTATTTCAGTGTTAAATTCTATTTAAAGTAACGGATTATGATTAAAAATGTCTTCGAACCTTTACTAGTTGTTGATTTTCTTTATTCGGACCACGCTGATTTTTTTATTTGTTACCCCTGATATAAAATGTGCTATGATGGACATTGCTTGCTTCCCTCTTCTATTACAATGTAGGACAGTATATTTAAATCTCAGACCTGTGCTGGTTTCAGAGCCTGGATCCGTGGGGGACTTGTGTACCACAGACCGGGTTCCAAAGAAGTTCCACTTATCTAACCCTCCTCCTCCTCCCTCATTTCCTCCCATGTCTGTATTGGGGTCGGGTCTGAGCTCTGGAGCAGCAAGATAAGGGGCCGAACTTAGCTGGAACCAGTTCCTGAATATCCCAGAAAAAAGAAAAAGAAACGTGAGATGTGATCCAACAACAAAACTCTACATTCAATAAAATGAATATCTATTTAGCTTTCAGAATAAATATTTCATGTACAAGTTTAAAAAAGCTCAAGGTTTAAGGGAAATCTCTCACCTGCGATTAACAGCTGGAGAAGAGACGGGAGTAACACTGGGGGTAACAGACGGGGTAACAGAAGGGGTGCCACTTGGGGTCGGTTGTGTAGATGTTGAAAGCCTGTCCTCTTTGTAGTCCCCACTTGTCATTCTCAGCTTCTAATGGGAGAAATAAAAAAATTATATGATAAAAATAAATAAAACCATCCGCTGCTCTTCATATCAGCCTGCAAATGTGAAAGTTATAAATGTTTAACAGGTGTGGTGCAAGCCTGTCAACAAGGGAGATGGAGGTACAGAACTGAACCTATTTAAAAAGCAAACATCAGCGGGTAAACAATGCAAGCGGGTGTTGGTGTTTAACTAGCAACTCATATCAAAACTAATAATTATGTGCGTCAGATCAACCGTTCTGGCGTCATGTGTGAGGGTGAAAAAAACAAAACAAATGACAAATATAGAGGAAAAACAATTGGCCAATTGGAATATTCCAGAATACATAGATTTAGTTTATTTAAGCTTGGCAAATATTAATAAATAACAAAAATAGGTCTTAATCCTACTTTTTCAGTGTCCTGTCATAAAAACTGATGTATTTCTGTTGGTATGTTTTAATGCTGAAGGTTGAGATTTCTATCTGGCTGATAACCATTTGCAGATTTCCAAAAAGTCAGAGCATCCAATTTCCACTTTTGCAAACTGTAAGATTTCAGGAGAAAAAAAACATTTCTAGCTATAATTTATCCAGACAGTTTTTTGAATTCTCAATGTTGGAAAACGAGGGTGAAAAAAAATCCCTTTTTATTCATAAAAAAGGGACAAATAATGATTTTGATGTTTTAAATGAATAAAAACTGCTATATTTTCCCAGTATTTCACCTGCTGATGACCAAATAAACAAAGATTAAGGGAAAAATGTGTCAATCTCAAACTTTTCCAAAATTCATATGCAAGAAGAATGTCTAGTTTTATTCTATGGATAAGGGCTACCGTGAGCTCAATGAAAGGTTTTTTCCCCATAGTAAAAGATTATTTGTCCTAAGGATGCACAAATATAAAATTCAGGCTATTACCATTTATATTATTTTTGATATGGACAATAACTAATTTTTACAATATCCTATTTCCCTATGCTTTCGACAACTTCTACAAAAAACAGCAATGACCCTCATTGCTCACCTTCTTTGCTTAAACATCATGCAATCCTGCACTTTGTCACTGTCACATGCCCAAACAAATGCTACATGGTCAGTCCTTCAGACACACATACAGAACTGAAGCATATAATTTGTCTCCATCAACCCAATTATACTTGTGGGACAGATGTGCAAAGAAAATATTCTGATATCAGCCTACTCCAACGTTTAAATATTATCCATCAACATGATCCTGCCACTAGGCACTTACCTAAAAAATCAGGATGTCAGTAAAAATGTAAATAATGGACCCACTAAAATTTAGCAACCATTACTGTTTTATAAGCCCAAAGCTGTAAAGACTATTTTACAACAAAATAAAATAAATAAAAAAAAATGGAAAAGCTATTGGCAGTAATTTACGTTTAACTGGGTTCTGGTCCTGTTACCATTTAATTTTTATCTTTTACATATATTTTTTGACATAATTATGCCCATTTGTCCTGATAACACTAAACTATCTAGAGACATGAACTGATTTACAAAGGTTAGGTATATAGGTAAGGATTTATTTTGTGGCAGGAAAAGGTTAAAAAAGAAGGAGAACAAATATAAGATGTGGATTCAATCACTGCTAATGGTTTGAAAGTTTATTCACAAAATATTTCAAGTGTAGTTGTAGTTACATACTACATACCTTAGCATTTTTGTTTTCTTTTTTCTCATGAATAAGATTTTAATCTCATTTGGACAAATAAAGGTTGAATACATAAAAAAATACAGAGACACTTAAATCCCCTTTATGTAACCATGTAGAATAAAATCAACAAGATAACATATTTTAGATTCTATTCCTATATCACGAATACATTACGTTTTTTATGGACAACATTTGGTTCCAACACAATGGAGCCTCAATAACACCAGAGAACTTTATTCGAAGGGTAAATGTTCAAAGCATCCTATTCTGTGACAAAATAACTTTATTTTTGACATTCTCAGTAAGTAAACAGTTAGAGTTGGTTTGAAGTTTGTTTAAAAGAATGTCATTCTGATTAAAATTCCCTCTGTAGGCCCACATTTGGCCTGTACTATAAGTGCTATGCGATCACATGAGCAATAAACGAGTAACCCTTGTTTGAAAAATGATGGTTACTACACGTAGAAATAAACATTTACCTTAAATAAAAAATCTCGTTTCCTTAAGCGGGTGTTAACACATTTTATCAGAAAACGGCTAAATGAGAAAACGAGTCTGTCAGATCCTGTTAGCTCTAGCATTAGCATTGCAACGTAGCTCACCAGTTTGCTATGCTAACGGCCTTCCTTGTGTAACGATGTAGAATTCTAGAAATAACCTAAAACAAAAACACGACCGACCTTTTAATGATAAGTTTTCTTTGACGCCTCAGCCGGACGGCTCTCTTCATTTTCTCCATAATTTCTTGTTTCGGTAGAGGATTATTTGTTAAAGACGCGACGCTGTCTGTTATTCACCGAAGTCGGCCTTGTTTTTTAAGGGACGCTCTGATTGGTCCTCGCCTCATATGAAGGGTGTTGCCAAGCAACCCCACTGATAAAGCACAAAACCCGTTGCGTAATGTGTTTATCAAGTAGTTTAGACTGTTTTGCTCACTTTTACTGCATGAAAATACTATTTTTTATTATTCTATGTATATATTTTTTAAAAGAACAAAATTATATCTGAAAAGGTTGAGCATCACTGCTGAAGAAGAACAGACAGATTTTGTTTTTGTGTTTAGCGATTACATAAAGAAACCACGTGGATCTGGAACAGACCTTTTGACAGCTGGTTAGAGGGAAGCATAGAGTAGTTTAAAATTAGCCTGTAAACAGAACAATTCTGTGTATTAAATAAATTACAGAATTTCCCTAGGGTGCTCTAATAATGTTAATTGGGATATCTACAATATTTAAAGATGTCCTAATTATCCCAAAATTAAAGTTTGAAGCTTGATAAAATGTATGAAAGTTTGATTTCACATTTTCGAAGCCAAAAGCTGAGTTTTCATCAATTTCTTGTGTTATATACTGATTAAAAGCATCTCTATATTTAATCTCTTATATAAGCTTACAAGTTCAGTTTATACTAACCATGCCTCACTATGCACAGGAGTGAGCGAAAGTTTTCATAGCCTATTAACCTTTATAAATGTTTATTTTTCTAATTAAAAACAAAAATTAAATGTATTTAAAGCTACAGTGTGTAATGATTTCAGGGATTTACTGAAAGACATGAAATATATTATACATAAGTATGTTAATTATCATCCATGAACGGAAAATCTCAAACTTACTGTTTGTGTTGTCTTAGAAATTATTACATAGAAGCAAGGGCGTAGGTTTGATTTCAACTTTTGTAGGGACACTATTGGTCTTCAGTTTCATTGGTCTGATGTCATTGATCCTATGCAAAAATATGCATGTTCTTTTTTTTATGCTAAATGTGAGCATCAAGGCACATTTTGTTTAAAGAGAACAGCAGCATTTCTTGCTACATTAATACAGATCTTATAAGCAGTATACACACTAGATGCTGTTTATCAATGTTTAAAGCATCACTGGCTCTGACGAATGTGGAATTAGGACTTTTTTCCACTTTGAAAAGGTTTGCATTTAAACTAACCAGCGACTAAGACAGTAGGTAATTACGTCCCTATTTAATCAAATATAGTCTAAATATGTGTGTTATATGTGGATTTATCCTGTGTTTTCTTTTGAAGATATAGAATGGTGCAGCGGTAAACAGAGGTAAACCCCACTCTTATTTTTTATCTAATATGCTCTCTCTGTATCAAGCAAAATAATACATTCAAGGGACGGCAAATACATGTATTTACATGTGCACAATATTAACTTATACATATGGGTGCACAATATTAAGTTGTACATATGGGCTGTAATTAGTCTGTGTAGGCCATTTCATGCATTTTATCTAGGGGTGAAACAATCATATTAATCGATTATTTAAATCATTGTCAACTAATTTAGTAATTGATTAATCATTAACTGGAGTATAGGGCCACTAAAATGTGCATGCACACATACAGATTAGAAAACAACCAATCAGAAAGAGAGAAGGTGGAACTTAAGGCAGAAAAACCAGAGAGTGGAGTTAAACAGCACTGTTACATGCGCTGCTATGTAAAAGGGAGAGGAAAAACCAGGCAGCTGCAGCTACCAGGCAAAGGAGCTTCGAGAGGAAAAGAAGCGACTGCTGCACCAACACTGTATTGTAAATTATTAACGATTATTGGTAGGGAAAAATAGGTCGGTCCAAAACTTTGTTAGGGACATGTCCCTATGGTCCCTATGCATACCTACGCCCATGCAGGTTTGTATAGAGGCAGAGATCTTTGCTCTATGGCAGCGCAGAGCTTATACAATGTTTATGTGACAACAGTATTAAAAATGAACAGATGTGATGCTTGAATCAGCAATTAGCAGGTACTGATTTTGGTGATGGACTCCCAAAATTCTGATATGTGTATATCTAATTTAAACAAACCTTGTTATAACTGACAAGATAGGCAATATGGATTTTGGTGAAGCCACAATTAACCCATCTCCTTGGGGAGCAGTGGGCTGCCATTGTGGGGCGCCCAGGGAGCAATCAGGGGTTAAGGGTCTTGCTCAGGAACGTGGAGTGGCAGTCTGTGGGAGTGGGGCTCAAACTCAGATCCTCAGGATTCCAAGCTCTATGCCCAATGGCGTAACTATAGGTATGCAGAGTATGCAGTTGCTTAGGGGCCCCCGACCTCTTAGGGGCCCTGTCACTAACACCTGGTTGGCCCCCTATGCAATTGTGGACTAGGACGTCTCTTTGCAGATGTACTGGTGTGAAAAATGTGTCTATTACTATGTTAATAACTGTGTATAGTTCATTAGACGGTTGGTAAAAAATACACTCATATAATATGTTTCAAACAACAATAAAGATCTTAAAAGAAAGATGTATTTGAGTATTTTATTTTATACAATACGACTTGGAATTATGGGTAATCCAGAGCGTAGATCAAAACCATAACCATTACGTATAATGTGTTAGCGACGATGGATACCAAAAAGAGGTACTTAAGCGGATTCCAGAAAAGAAAAAGCAAGGAAGAGCTACTGGGAGAACAGAAAAAAATTCCCAAAATAAACACATTCTTTCAAAGAACCGAAGAGGGAGAGGTAGACATTGCTGCTACAGTGAGTGAAGATTGCGACCAGGAGATGAATGGAGAGAGCAAGGATGAAGAGAAGATCTGTGAAACTCAAGGTGGTGTTGTACTTCGTATGGGACCCACCCAGATAATGTTGCTTAATTGTTGTGTCGTTACACCATTGTCTATGCCCTAACCACATTTTGTACCATGACAGCCTCTGTATTGTTGGAGGTGGAGAAGCAGTGGGGGCCTTTTAATGTTGCTGCAGTTTGCAGTCTGACCATTAGGTGTCGTTGAAAATTATACACTGAAGGTTTAATTGGTATTCAAGATTAAAGAGCGACACACAATGGAACCTTTTTGTTAAGTGAAAGGGAAAGGTAAACCTCCTACCCATCCGTTCCTGTCTTCAGCAGGTTTTTCTGCCAGAATTTCTGATCTTTCTATCAACTATGGCCAGCTTTGGTGTCTGTGCTGAAGAGATGCGTTCCCAAAGCACAATGTTACCATTGCTATGTTTTATCATGAGGAGGTGGTGGATGGTGTAAACCAGCCACCTTTTTCAGTTGCCCAAGTCCAGCCCTCAAGAGCTACTGTCATGCAATCAGAATGCATCAGAAAGTTGCAGGATAGTAGCTCTCAAGGGTTGGACTTGGGTCCCCATGTTGGTGATTCATATATACATAAAAAATTCTGGTAGTAACATAAATGAATTGGCACAAAATCAAGGGTTATGTCTACATCAGCACAATTCTTGTTTTAGGCCCAAACTTGTAGTAAAGTGAGAAATGTTAAGGCTTATTTTGGACAGTGCCGTCACTCAACCAGGTTTAAAACCATTGTCTAAACTTATTCCTGCTTTTTCAGATCATGCTGCTATCTCAGCTTTGTTCAAACTTACTGGCACTTTTCCATCAGCTGTTCGGTGAAAATGGGTCTCCTCAGCAGTGAGGCCCTTGTGGGGGGAATAAACAGCCTCAGTCAGTCCTGCCTGGCTCTCAAACTTCTGCAAGTTTTCCTGGGACTGCCCTGAGTTTCATCGGAAATACAGAGAAAGACCAGACAATTAGGTTTCCGCTGCTGTTACATCACAGATACTCACAAGTTTTCTCAGGAATTATCAATGTAAAATATGCAATTTTCTTTAAAACCCAACAAATACAAGAGAGTTTTCAAACACTGCGATCACAGATTTGACTCACTTGCCATAAGGGAGCTCATCAGTTTGGTGGCTTTGGCTTTCACAACAGGTCCTGGGGACCTGGGTGGTACTGATGCTTCACGTGGAGGTAATTTACTGCCATTCTCGCTTACCTGGTAACACAGGTTTGAAGTTTAAGGAAAAAATGTTCAACTTTTTCCATTTCAGAAACCAAAGCAAGCAAGGGTGCTCAAGGACACTCAGCCAGGTTGACATACTTTAAGCCCAAAGAACATTTTGTAAGCAACTAAAAACTATGAGGGTTTAGAAAGTGTAAACAAACAAAGAGCACCTCAACTATGTTCCGGAACCTGTGCTGAGGGATGAGAGGATCTTTCCAGAAGATGTTGACTGTCATGTCTGCAGGTGGGTGGTTCATGGGGGTATCCATGTGCTCATCATAGCAAATGTTGTGGCGAGCTATTCCAGTGGGAGATGATAGAGCAGTGCAGAGGCCAGACATGCCGAACTCAAGTGCTAGGAGAAAAGGCAGCAAACAAAAAAAGTGCCAGCATAAATAGAAACAGGTTCCAGTACATATAAGAGCTAATGTTGCTTCTAAATACCTGGAATGTCTCCTTGCCCTGAGGCCATTTTTTACACCAGAACAAGGGGTTTCGCCACAAAAGAAAGACGGTGGACTCTATGCCCAGCGTGACAAACCTGCATCACACAACGTCAAACATTGTTGAAAGGTCATGGATCTGTCATAAAGATCTGTTTACTTAAAGCAATGGTTTCTTAACTGTTCTTGCGGTCTCCCCTTTGATTCCAAAGGCAGTTTTAGCAGAGAAAAGCCAGTAAATTACTTGTGGTAATAAAACGAGTTACTTATAAATCACAAAACTACCACTTTTAAAGTATAATTTAATTCCTACATTTTATTTTAATGTGTAACAGAATTCAACATTGCCATCATTTTTGTTTTGTTTTGTCAAAATACCTCTGAAAATGGGTCACTTAATTATTTCATATTTTACCAGGCGCCACTGTGATTACATTGAGCCTCCCCTAGGGGGATTGCATCCCACTTTGGGAGCCATTGGTTTAAACAGTTTGGAAGCAACCACTGGTGGTTTCACTATGACTGTGGTGTGGTATATATAAAAATAATCTCAGGTAGTAACATAAGTGTTACAAGATCATCTTTTATTTTTGCATTTATTCATTTATTTCAGGTCATTTGTGGGGGTTGGAATGACTCTCCTTCTAAAAACATATACAGCCATAATATCTGGGCCTCAAAAAATAAAAATTACCACTTAGAATTTATAATAAAAATCTTTATTTATGGAGAAATTAAGCCCTTTGTTAAAAGGAGCAAGTTCTTTGGTTTATTTCAGTAAAATCTTTTTTTTTGTTTTGTTTTTTTTTGTTTTGTTTTTTTAATCAGGGATACAACCTTTTCATTCCTGAAATGATACAGACTTTGCATCCTTTGTGTTGGATGTCAGAAAAGGCTGATCATTAATAATTCTCAAACAAAGAACAATTGTCGACAACAATAAGCGCGAAAACATCCGACCCATTTATCTTTAACCAAACAGTCTTAAAACTTTAAACAGAACAGGACATCCCATTGTTCAAACTATGTGACAGAGACATTATGTTTATAATGTTTTCATGATATAATTAGTTCTTTTAAAAGCTTGTCTTGCAGGTAATGCCATAGCCCATTCTCTAAGATGTCACTAACACATATTTGCATGTTGGTTGTTGATCTATTAACACTATAATAAGGTGAGAAATGAAAAGAGGGCTTAGGAAAGGTTTCATGCATGCACCACCACTGACAGAAACACATTTGTCTTTTCAATGCAAAATAAGCAGAAAGTTGGAATAAAGACATATCATTGATGATAGTGAAGATAAGGAATTATCAAGCCTTACTTGAATGAAATCAGAGGAAAGTTTCTCTTGTCTGATCTGCTTTAAATAGAACTGCAGAATCTGGTTACTGTACAGGAGTGTCATCAATATGAGTTTCAGTCAGAGGGAGTCTCTTCTCTCAGCTTCGCCTCAGCCTTCTGCAGAGCAAAAGAAGACAAGTTTCAATACAGATATTTTATTATTTTCCATTTAGTACAGGCAAACACAACCTCATCTTGTAAATTTGAAAAATGTAACCATATAGGTTAGTTTTGGCTCATAGTTCAACTCAAGTCAAAAGAGTAAATATTTAAATCTGTAATTAATAATAAATACCTTATTCCAGTCTTTGATTCATGTGCAGAGGAGGGGCTGAGTCACAATGAAAAAAATATTATAACATGGGCTATGAAGGAGCTATTTGTCTAACATGTATTCTTGGTACATATGGCAAAAATATCCTTTAATCTACAGACTTCTTTAAGGTGATTCTGCTTTGTTATCAGAGGCTGCTTTTTTTTATTATTCTGCTGCTGCGCAGACAGCTGCTTTATTCCCATCACAACAGAAGGAATCCACTTGCAGTGACTTGCAAAAAAAAAAAAAAAAACATACAGGCCACTGTAAAAGAAGGTTAAGTTGTGTTTAATTACAGTGCACCATTTTTTATCTCTACATGTAACAAATTCCTAAATGGGAAATAGATCTAGTACTTGTATTAAGGTATACATGACACAAAAGTGTACAATGCAGGTTATAACACTCACCCCTCCTGTCAGGCCGTAAAAACAGTAAATAACAATCAGATGTAGCGAGGATCAAGCAGCAGATGGAAGGAATAGACACAGCATGTTTGTTCACCGGTTAGCAGGTCCATGACTTTTGATCAAACAGCAAACAGAGAAGAAACACAACAGCAACGACTGAGCCTGCCTCTATCTCTCCCCCTCTCAGGATTTCGTCTGAAACTTGAAGCTCTGCAGAGGGAGGGGTGGGCATGCAGGATGAGGGCCAGGAGAGCATGCAACACAGCTTTAGTTTGCAGTTCTTATTATTTTACGTGGTCTGTAACGGTGCCAGGAGAAAAAGTATCATTAACCATGAGATAAATAACTAGGTCAACTTCCTTTCAGAGTTTAGCTAACAGGAATAAGCAGGGAGCAGAGGAAGTTTTAATATTCCACTTCCAAATGTTTTCTTACTCCTAACATTTTACTTGTCATAATGTTTATAATTTAACAATAATTAGGATGTTGAATGGAAAACAAAATGGCATGGTTTTCATCATTTTGGTGGGATAAAAAAACCCTGAAAACTTTGGAGTGAGTGTGGTCCATTTTCATCAGTAACTCCTAAAAGAAATCACCTTTGCTATAGATCAGAAGCCACTTTTACACTATTAAAACCTTAGTATAATAGACACAGATACAAAAGTTCTGGGCAAAGAAAGGGTTTTTTGGTGAACTATATGCACTCATAAATTGGATTTTCCGAGTTACCGGCCAAAAATACAGCAAAAATTGAAATTCCAACAGGAAATTCAGAATCTATCAATCTATCTATTAATGAAGCTTTTCTTAATTTGTAAAAATAGAAGCAGGTGAGAACTGATGAAAGGGTGGATAGAGCAATACAGGAATCAAACCTGTTAGAGGCGCTAAAATACATCAAATCTAAATAAAGTTTCATATACAAATGGAAGCAGCGATCTTAACATAGAGACCGGGCATAAGATGGGTTGATTTAGACCAAAAAGGAGATTATTTTCTTCAAATAGCAGAGTGAAAGTTCAGATTTACATTTGTCTGAGAATCTGTTGATGCTCACAGAAGCTTTTCATCCAACCTGAACAAATCAAAGCAATTTCATTGAAGAATGAATGAAAAATTATCTCCCTAAATCAGGTAGATGTACTGAAAAGATCTGTTGTTGTTGCTCTGTTTTCACAAGTCATAGATTTCAAAGTATTATGTATTAAAAAGTAAGTATGGTGCACTCATAGGTTTAAAGGATTCTTATGGCTAAACATAATCATATATATATGCTTTTTTTAAGAGATATATATAGATATATATTTATTCCAGTTGATTTAAGTGGTTGCATCTAGTTAAATGCTTTTCTATTTAAACATGTTATTGCTTTCCTCATTGTGACTTGACTGTAGAATCAGTTCATTAAGCTGCTATATTTAGTAGCTGCTTTTCACATGTAAAATTAAAGAAGAGATCATGGACATTGTTGTTGTCTGTGTTAAACTCACAGAAAAAAAAATGTCTTTGAAAGGTTTTGAATAAATTAATCTAAAAGGTGTTCAAATGCAGCAGTACTGAATCAACATCAGAATATCATTGGGTTGGTTTATTTGGAACATTCGAATTACATTTGAAGGTTAAGACTTAGCTCCAGAGCAAAGCAGCAGTGAGTTCAATGCTGCAGTTAGTTAAAAATGTAAGGTTGGTTATTAATCTTGATGCTCATGTTGAGAGAAATAATGTTTGTTGAGGGTGTGAAGGACAACAGCCAATGGGAGCGAGTGAAGCAGCGACACTCCTCTTTGAGAGCTGAGCAGGAACATGTTTTTCATTGGTTGGGCATTGACTCCCCGAATAACTCCACACAACTCTGCTGTCAGCCGTTCATAAAGGGCACCCTGGATAGCAGCTCCTATTTAGTGAAAGAAGCTCTCAGCATGCATGAGAAGTGACGTAACACACTGCAGAGATCTTTTATTTGCTCCACATGATGGCGTTGTTTTGTAGAAAATGATCTAGTTTAAGGATCAACCATAACTCAAGACCCAATAACTTCTTTGATTTCTTTTTTATTAGAAAAATAAACATACAAGCACAAAAATAATTATTATCCTTTCTGAAAAAAAAAAAAAAATCCAAAATACATTCAGCAATGAAGTGTTGCATGTACACATTTGCATAAATAAAACACATTAATATAGTTTATCGACGTTAGGAATCTGCAGTCTACATTGAAGGTGACTTTGCAGTTGGAGGTGAGGTGAGGTTCTGGTTCAGCTTGAAAAATCGGATCTAAGCGGTGGAGCTGCTGCTTGAGCTGCTGCTGATAGTGGTGGGGTTGGAAGGGGTGGTGACCTTTGAATTCCTACAGAAATCAACAGAGCAACAGGTTTAAGTTAAATCAGGGTGTAATTCATACATAGACCTAAGGAACTGTGTGGTGTATGGACTGAAAAAGACACAGAGATTTAAGTTATACTCACATGACTTTGGTAAGCATCCTTTTCACAGCCTTCAGCTCAGGGTTCAGACAGTAGCGGTACCCTTTTCCACTCGTCACACTGTGGGAACATGGAGATTAACATAAAACAAATGAAGAATGCACCTAATTAAGGAATGTGCATTGATAAATTGTGTGAATCAATAATCAATGATTTAAAAATCTTTAAGAATAGTTTTTAGTAATAAAGGTTTAATCTAATTAATGTTAGGTTACATTGGCAATACAATGGATTAATTGTATGAATTTCTAACAGAGAAATCTGCTGTTAGAAATTAAAAGGCACAACTTACACAATCTCTACTTTGTTACAGAAGATGGTTGCAGGGTAAATCTGGATGTCCTTGATGTCAGACTTCGAAGAAATGCCATTTCTGACACGCTGACAAAGACAGCTCTGTCCAGGCTCATTCACTGAAAACAGAGACAAATACAAGTTATTGATCTGAATTTACAAATACTAGATCCTAGTGAGAGGCACCTTTCAGTTTTAATTATAATAAATAAGATTAGACACTTACGCTGAGCTGCAGAGATGCAGACTGCGACGGCCAGGAACAGAAACAACTTGATGATGCTGGACATCTCTGGTTTGGTCTTTGGTCAAGATAAAGCTGACAGGTTAGTCAAGATGATAAAGCTGCAGGCTTGGTGGTGGAGGAGCTGTGAGGGTGTAGAGGCTGAGGGGTCCTCTTTAATACTCTCTTGAGCTGCTTACCTCATCTTTCCTGTGACAAAAGGGAAATTTTTAAGACTGGAAAGTGAAACCCTAAAACCCACAGGAAAAGAAGAAACTTCCACTGATCCCACTACCCCCATAGTTCTCTTTTTTTTCTTTTTTTTTGTTTGAAATTGGACAGTATTTGGCAAATAAAAATGTATAAAAAGCATATTTGAAATAACTCTTAAAAAACAAAATCGGTAAAACCGTAATATAAAAACTAACCTGAATGTTTTAGAGAACGTATATTTGTAGACACTTCAATTCATATCTGCTGAAAAATCATTTTAATATTCTTAAAACAAAATTCAAGATATAAAGGCTTATACAGTAAGAATACAGTAAGAAAAGGGAAATTTGTCTCTTGTTGTTGAGGTTTATTTAGCCTATTGTAGAAATAACAATCTAACTAAAAAAAATTATAATTAAAACGAAACATTATTCCAGGTCTTTAGATTTCCTGCAAATTCAACAATGAAAGAAAATGTCAAATTACGTTTTATATATACATATATATATATATATATACTTGTGAAATGTGTGGACAGACTCGTTTGTCATACTGAAGTGTGGGCTGTGATGTTTGCAACACGTCTTTTTTTCGTGTTTTAGCAAGCAGCAGTGGTTAACACCTTTAGCATTTGCAGTGCTCATTCAGATGTCTAAGCACACGGAAAAGTTAAAAAGAAAAATCCAAGCCAGGCTTTTATTTGTTTCCACTGCAAAGCATGGCATTTAGCTTCACATTTATTTAATTTGTGAGAATACTCTGGTCTGTAATCTGATGGACGATTGTTTCGATTTCCTTTACAGTTGTTTGATATGGTCCTTATCAGATACGCACCTGATCTTATCTTATTACACATGGGTTTGGTGAGAGATTTTCTTTAATTTGAGGAAAGAAAAAGGCTTGAAATTCATGTTTCAGTTTTGGGTCCTCTTTCACTTTTAAGAGTCACAAAAGTCAAATGTGATCCCAGCTTCTGTTTCCTACTCTATTTTAATCTACCGGTGGCTTTTCTAACCACAGAGTTTCAGTTTAACAGAAAAGCTTTTCCTTTTTTCTTAAATATGCCTATTTCTTAAAAATTAACTTAAAAATAGGACAATGAAACAAAATCTAAAGGCCAGATTGTTTATAAATGGGACTCCTTTAACTCCACTGAGTTTACAAAAAGATGGTTATGCATGGTGAGAAAGCCAACATTAAGATGCTTATAACAGTGTCGGGCCTCCATGTTTGACCACCATCCATTTATGATTTGTGCATTTTCACTAAGAAATTTACACCACAACTGAAACCCAACTGGATATTGACTGAGTTCCTCGACCGGATCTCACATATACATTTTGTGGTGCTGAAAAAAAAATATTTTTTTTATTTCTTTTGAGGTATTTTGGCTAATTGCATCACACGAGGCACAGGAATCCATGTGGCCAGCCTCATTTGTAAAAAAAAAAAAAAAAAAAAGTACCGGTAAGTAAATGCTTTGTGAAAATGAGTTTTCAAAAAATTTAATAACATATATATTCACAAAAAAAAGCAAAAAAAAAAAACTGGTCACATAATGCCTTGGTCATCAGAACCTAAATCTGAGGCTACAGTAGATATTTAATTTTTTTGTTAGATTAAATTATATTTACCATGATGACAGATTGTTCTTAGGGTGGTATAAATAAAAGCATATTTGGGTGATTAAAGTTTAGTTTCTGGCTGCTATCTGCTCTGAAGAGGAATGCCATTGTTCCTTAGAACATTGGTTCACAACCTTTTTTGACTCTTGTACCCTTTTGGTCATTTTTTTCTCCATACCATGATTATCCTTCTTAGTCATATTTATTAATTATTGTCCAAAAGTGGAACATACAACAACTGATTATGAAATAAAAACAATTTTACTCAATCTTTTAATTTTATCATTTAATTCTTAGGCAATTTATATTTTCCATCTCA